TGTGAGGAAACCCGGGGAGGGGCTCCTACCGCTCCTGTCTCTTATACACATCTAGATGTGTATAAGAGACAGCTACTGGCTGTTGAATCAGGAAAACTACTCCCTGATTCCTTTTTCCTTTTTCTTCACGATTTCTTGATTTGCGGCCAGGCCATCCTTGCAAGCAAGCGGCCATGCTTATGTCCTCTTTATCGTTGAAGGCCTAATTCCTAATTTACATCGAAGAAAGATAATATGTCAGACAAACCGATACCTAATCCCCGCTGGTCTCCTCACCATCCCGTGCGGACCTGAGGCATGATTCCAGAATTTCAAGTACATTAACCTAGGTTGCTCAATAGTTAAACCGTGTCCCGCGTTCTCATCATCAGCCAATCGACCAGGCATCAACCCCTGCCTGGACCTCCTCGTGGGATATGGTTGACAAGCCGGCATCTGGAACCAATGCCAAGCATCGCCTCTTCGATGCTTTTTCCACCACTGGTACTCACGGATCTGCTAAGCAATCAACAGTCCGATCGACTTCGCTGAGTCTGCTCCTTTGTCTGCCACGCACTCGCTTCGGCAGTATACCCGTAACGACGCGGCCCGGGTAACGGCTTCAGCCCAAACGCATCTGTCATGCCATAGCCCCGGGATGGTCCTTACGAGACGCCGAGCCATCATCCATCATCATCATCATCATATCATCATCATCATCATCATCATCATCATTTGAGTCTCTGAGCTCTGTTGATACAAGGGTCAATCTTCTTCCCGCGAACATAACGGGGCCCCATTACCATTAATCTAGTCGGACCGGACTCGGGTTTGCATACATTCGTGACTATATGGCGTTATGTTCCAGGGAAGAAGTGAGCGGTACAAGAGAAAGTTAGCACTGTTCGCTCTTGTTCATATACATGCTGTAAGTCTACGTGTCTATGAATGCGCGAGTACGATCAACTCAACCGTGCCGACGTGCTCATCAGTCTAGGCCACCGGATTCACTCAGTACGAGTCGTCAACTCCTGACAATTCGCTCTTAATCGTAATAAATCTCTTTACTAATAATCTATTTTGTAAATTTGTTTCTAAGCCCTTGGTTTTACTGTTTCTACTGCGTCGCGTTCCTCTTGAGGCTCCTTGTCATCGTCGGCGGCATTGCGGGCAACGCGGCACTTCCAGATTCACACGTCGATTAGTGCGGCAAGGTCTAGCGGCACTTCCATACCTCCACACGATTAGTGCGGCAAGAGCGAGTAGACCAAGGACAGAAGATAGCACAGTGACTTCAACGGCAGCAATGTCAGCGATGTGCTGTTCTGGAGTGGTTGGCGGCAGTGCGGCGGGAGGCATTGCTGATGCTAGCACTCTCTTGCTATGCGCATGGGTGTTGTCGCAGGGAGTGTCGCTAGGCGGATCAGAAACCAGACCCACTACTGATGGGGGAAGTGGAATTGGGAGAGGAGGAGAATGACGGTGTTATCGGTTGTGATGATGCTGAGGCGGAGGAGGAGGAAATGGGGATCGCGCTGCCAATGGACGGCATGGGAGCTGCCCAGGTACGGCTGGGAGACGCACTATCACTATACGGGGAGGGAGATAGCGCCGAGGAGAGGGGAGCGGATGTGGGTTCTGGGCTAGGAGTCGGGACTGGTCTGCACCCGTGAAGTTTGGACTTATCGAGCTCCAGCTGGAACAGATGTCCCCTGTTGGTCCCGACGTACAGTGCCAGTTTGGTCCCATCGTCATGGAGGGCCAGACCCCAGAGCCCCCAATTAACAGTTTGGGCTAGGGTGGCGACGGTCGTTGCCTTACCGCAGGGCTCATCGAGTTGGAGCCAGCGAAGAGTTCCCGGCGGACTGACCTCCGTGGTGAATAGATTGCATCCATCCGGAGTCACGACCACAGATCGCAAGCCCTCAAATGACGATCGCATTGCCACTCCATCATCCTTTCCGGCTTGTCCGGATCCCGCTATTAGCGTGGCATTGAGCGGATCTGAGGTAAGGTTGGCTCCCCACACTCTGTTCGACTCGTGGTCGACGAAGTAGAGGCATTTCCCGTCTGACGTCAGACTCTGACTGCCAAATTTCAGACTAGTGACGTTCGGACCCCCATCGACACCGCCACTGAAGATTTGCTCCGTCCTGTACAACGGACGATTGTCCAGCGGTATCTCTCCCTCCCCCAGTGGGAAGGAGTACAATCGCGGACGTTCAACCGGATCGCTTATGTACAGCTTCGTCTTGTTCTGATTGAACGCAAAGCCGTCCACCCATTCTGCATCTATGGCCGCTGAAGATCGACTGCCATAGGCGAGGGAGACGAAGGTGACCTGCGATGTCATGGTCCCGCTGGTGCGATGGGACCCAAAGATGAGGTTGGTTCCAAGCCGGGAAAGCTCCATCCCGGAAAACGCAGCCATAGGGACACTGCTGCTGTTATAACTCTGCCAGACAATAGGAGAAGTTTTTCTTGGTCCCTTCGGTTCACCAAGGGGCCACCAATAAGTAATCACGTCGAGGTGGGATGGAGCCTCCGCACCTTGAGCTTCAGGACTCGTAATATTCACATTCGCCTTCCTGATGGACATCAGCCGCTCGTCTTCGGTCCGATTGCCGCTCGCATAGCAGCGTTCGTCCAGCACATAGTAGAAGGAGACGATGGAACTTAGGTTGTCCGGCGATGGCGGGAACACCAAGTCCCGGATAAGCCAGTTGCAGTACCTCTCGTCTGACGGGCTGAGGTCCGCAAGCACAGCGAGCTGGGGTGTATAGTGAAGCACGAGCCGCTTTGCCTTCAAAAAATCTGCTTGGAACATCTGCAAGAAGTCCGATGGCGATGACTGCTCAGCCAGTAGTCTCCCCATGTCCCGTGTCCCATGCGCTGTCCCACCTTCTTCATCCTTGCTTCCCTGATGCCGCTCCACAACAAGCGAGTCGTATGCTGCCCCACCTCCGATCCGCACATCTGCTCCCTTGTCTGCCACCTCGACGGCAGTTGAGCCCAGACAACACGTCCTCCCGCTCACCATCTCTCCTCTCATCGTCATCACGACTGCAATGGTAAACCAGCAGCAGCCAAGAAGGGTTGTCGCCGCGTAAATGGTCTTCCATGTCGCTGCGGGCTTGGAGCGCTTGTTGACATCCCCGGCAGACGCTGTAACGTTAACATAACAGTCGTTATCACGAGGGAGATCGGTACAACAGCCGCTATTGTCACTGCGCAGCCCCATTCCAAGGACTCAAGGAGCTGTTCCCAACCAACCGTCTCTTCACGCAGCACCCCTCCTTGTCGGCAACTCGCCTTCCTCACGTGGCGAGAGGAACCACGAAGACCCCTCCCCCTCCTGCCTTCGTCCTCCTGAAGTCTCCCTCCTACCTCCTTCCTCCTTCCTCATTCCCCCTCGGCCATCGCACAACCGCTCACGCCTGCCTAACCCCACAAACCAGAATCTGCAACGAGTCGAACGTTTGATCAGATTCTCTTCTTTCGATGTCTCCCTCTGGCAAGAAGGGCAGGCCTCTTTTTTTTTTTTTTTTTTTTTGAAAAGGGCGACCGCCTTGAGATATGATCATCCGTAAGCTGAGCGGGAGTAATGTTGAGGATCCTTGGCCTCAGTTCTTTTTCTTTTCTTTTTTTTTTTTTTTGAAAAGCAGGGGCCCAGTGCCCAAGGCTCAAATTATCAAGTTGGATACAGTACGAACACACACCTCTTCCCATTAGGGCTGGACGATGAATGGAATTTGGAGTTCATCGAGCTGACCGGCCCTCAAGATTGGTTAGTCATGTGACGTCCGTGGAGTTTGAATGAAGGTCTGTATTTCAACAGTTCAGGGGTGTACCAACTGAGGTAGGACCTTGACCTCCAGCCCAACAATGGTAGGTAAGAAACAAAAGGGGTAATTGCAGAAATAAAAACAATGGTAGGTACCAGCCCAGGGGCCAGAGGCCAGGTCCCACTAGCACCCTTGATTTTCCTTAACGCCCGAATGTGGATGTGTTTGTGGAGATGTGGAGAAAATCGCGTTGAGTTGTTGTTTTTTTTTTGTGTGTGTCCAACTGAGCGCCCTTAAGTAGTGCCAAATAGTTGGTGGTTCCTCGTTTGGAGTTCCTACTGCACTCTTAGGGGGGCCGCTTGGTTCGGAATGCCTGTGTTGCCTAAGGGTGATAAAGGATGCTCATCAGAGTGACTCCCTGCCTCCGTGGTGGTGGGAATCAACAGTCTGCGGGGTTAATTTTGATGTGAGTAAATCATGTGCTGCCTTGCTCCATGTTGGATGTACGGACCACCTCGTCTGCGCTCTGTCAGTGCCTTGATGTCTGTCCCGCTGGCTTTGCATGTGGTTCTCTACTAATTGCTGTGTTCGCTGCATCGTGTGGCTGTGTCGTTGGTATTGCTCTGTGTTTGAAGTGGGCGCTTGTCGCCAGTTTGCTGCGCAACCTGTTTGTATGCATGTGAAGTGTGAATGAAAGTGAGTCTGATTGCAATCATGACAATGATTGGAATACAAGAAAGAAATATTGATGACAATGATTGGAATACAAGCAAAAAATATTGACGACAATGATTGGAATACAAGCGAAAAATATTGATGACAATGATTGGAATACAAGCAAAATATATTGAGGACACTAAAAAGGGGTAAGTGCAGAAATAGTGCGTTTTGGAAGTTTCGCAGCTGCCGCAGCAGCAGCAGCAGCAGAAATGTTGTACGGGTCCGAAAGATCTATTTTTGCAAGGAAAGTGGGACCCCGCGCGCAAAAAACTATTTTTGCAGGGAAACTATCAGGACCTCAAGCTGCAAAGGAAAAAAAAGATATATTTTCGGAAAGAAACTTGGGCCCCGCCAATATTTTTGCTGTGAAACTACCGCCAGGGGTCTGGTCCCACCTACAGCGTTGAGTTTTCTATCACGTGCGGCATGGTGGGACGGCGCTCTGCCGTTGATGTATTGCGATCTAATGGTACCGAAATACAGGAGAATAACCTATTAGATTTTGTCTTTTTGTAGAATTTTTCTTTGACGTGAAATCCGTTTTGTAGTATGCTTTGGCTATGTGTCCAAAATCAGATTCAACGGGGGTTTTGAGTTGAACGGTTCAACTCCCGTTCAACTCCTGTTTCAACTCCCCGTTGAACCGAGTTGAATGTGGTACAACTCGACCCGCAGGGTTTTTTTTTGCAGGCAAAACATAAGTGAAAAAAAAAATAAAAAGTATGGGGGTGTAGATTTTTTTGCTCTCTACATCCCCATATTTTTATTTTTTTAGCATTAAAAGTATTTTTAAAAAATCAAAAACAAAACCAGACTCAAAACAGATAGATTTTTTGTCCTTTTTTTATTTATTGATTGATTGATTGATTGATTGATTGATTGATTGATTGATTGATTGATTGATTGATTGATTAATTGATTGATTGATTGATTGATTGGTGAAGGATGGGTCGCCCCCCCAACCCCCACCCAATCACACACACACACACACACACATTCACACACATACACACACACACACACACACACACA